TTAACGGTTGTTGGATGGACAACAAGCACATGATGAAGGGGGTCTATATGTTAAACCACACTTTGGGTGCTGCTGTTATGCAATAGATACACTGATAATTATCACAACCTATGATGGATAAATGTGAATCATATTGAATCATTGTATACATCTAATAGTAGCTTCATCCCTTTTCTCCAGCTGTTCATTCTTACAGTAGGTCAACCAATCCCCCAAAGAAATCGACCCTGACGGGCCTCCGTGGCCTCCGTAGCCCGACGCCAGCGGGGCGCATCACCTGCAGCAGGCGAAAAGGAGAGCAAAAGGCTCATTTGTTTTCTGATTTTCCTGTATTTTGTGTGATTTTCCGGTCTTTTGAGGTGATTTTCAATTTTTTTGGTGTGATTTTAGTGTATTTTCCGAACATGGAACCTGATAATTGACCGGTAGTGGTGGAAGGCTTCCAGAAAACCAAGCCGGTTTTGGGGTTCCATGCGCTCCTCGGCAGGGGAGTACAGTTTACTGCCCAGCAGCTCTTCAGGTAGCACCTGAGCTCAATCCAACATCAAATTGTTTGCTCTTGAAATGGTTTGAACATCCTGTAGACGCTTTGCTTTTGTATACTACTGTAGCTTGATGTTTCACACCGTTTCACATGAGTTTTGGGTCTCTCTCACGTCTCCGGTGTCGAATGTCTCCCGTTGGTCACTCCGAAGAAACCCCACCCAACTCCAACTCCGACCCCTACACCTCCGGTCGTACCTCCGGTTCGGTATGACTGGACCCTCCAGAGCCCTAAGCCACCCCAGTCCCAGCTTCTCAGGTTCGGTACGACTGGAGGCCTACTGTAGGGGACTTCAATCGAACTGGAGAACGACTTGCTGTCTCCAACATGACGTCTTGCGGCTGCGAACAGCCTGTGTTCGTGATGGGCTCGACCAGCGGCTCCTGGGTACCGTTGAACAAAGGGGTGGTTCTCCACGCATCCGGCCCTAGGGCTGCTGGCCTAGCTCCGGTTTAAGGTGTTTCGGTGGTTGGATGAGTGGGTGAAGGTGTAGGGAAACCAAACTTTGGACCCGACCGGTTCCTGCGAGCTAACATGGACCGTGAAACACAAGGGACCGCGTGTCTCAAGGGACATCGTCTGAAAACCCCGTTGATCAGGCTCCCACGTGAGTTGCAGAAGGTACTGTATACGGTGACGCTGGATCCATAGTGCAGCACAATTCAGCTTTGTAGCCTATAGCTGTCGTGCCCATTGGAACTCTGAAGATATCAGGTGATCATAAAAGCTCCTCCTCAGTTTCTTCATGCCCTGAAACATGTCAGCAAGAGCGGTCACATTGCCATTCTGTATTGCTTTGGCCCTCACACCGATGCCAAGTTCAACTTTCCCCTCGGTCCCCTTCGGACCTTTGTCATCTGGATGTCCCAATTCTTCCAAACAACAAGCTGAGCCTTGCCAGGCGACTTTGTGCGTTTCTTGCTCTGCTACGGGAGCAATGTTTGATGCGTTGAATGCATGAATAACTTCCTGAACATCTGCACTTGCAATCATCTTCTTGGCTTTGGCACGCCCCATCTTCTGTGCCCAAAGAGCTTTCACCTGCACAGGATGCCACAGCACGCGCTGTTCTGAACCGTTCAGCTGCGCAGCTGCGATCCAAAGAATCGAATCAACGAAAAGTTGCTCTGCTCTGTCCTTCTCCTTCCGAGGTAAACAGCTTACCACCTGACTCCTTGCGCCTTCACCCCTTCGTTCCATGCGGCGAGGTGGACAGACCCGGCGCCTAAACCGAAACCTCGGACGGAGCCCCGAATCGGTGCATCTGGCGGCCAGCGGCCTCTGGCGAGCCCTGACAGCCTGTCAATTCGATGTAATACAGTGGTTTCAGACTGATGGTTTCAGACTGATTATAGCTGTTGGCTTCTACAGCCAACCTGTTTTTTGACGGAGGGGTGTTTTTGGAAATGTGGACCATTCTTGCTCCGGCTGCTGAAGAAAGGCAGAAATGCTGCACAGGTGGAAGATCCAGGTATGTTCGGCCTGAAGCTTGCTGAGCACATGAGTTATGGCTTCGCTACTGTGTCCACCTTCGTCCCCATACAAAATGGCTCCTTTGTGCAGGTTTCTGCCATGACCATCCAAACGACCATCGGTCTACCGCAATCCCAAACGGAAGCTGCTGCATCGGCTCCTCTCGGAAGAAGGAGCTCAAAAAGCCCGGGGTCTGAGGCGGAGGTCGGGCACGGGGTCAGAGGTTCAAAGGTCCGATCGAATCGGTTCGGAAGAATGGTTGGTATGCTGAAAAGATCACATTGAAACATATTGGCCAGTTTGTTCAACACCATCATCCCAAGTAAAGGTCGAAAATAAACATCTCCGAAACCACCAGCTACTATAGATGATGACATACGGCATCTTACTAACATGCCAGGGTTTCGCTGTGTCTGATAGTCTGATAGCCCCCTTTTCGAGGTGATTTGGGGTGTCCATGGACCACCCCTTAGAGAGGTGACTTGGGTAGGCACAAGCGTGCCGTTTCATCGTCTGTCGTGGGTGATTCTGGTCCGCTTGGTCCTCGGTGCCTCGGTGCCTCGCAAGCGATCGAATGCGCAAACCGCATGCAGTCCTCTCAACTTCACGCGTGGAGCATCAGCATCAGACTTCTGACAACTGACCGAACAACATACAGTGCTGTCGTACAAAAAATACTTAGGACCTCTTATAAATCTCTTATATAGATTTGGAGCAAACATGTACGTTTCTGTCATCAACATGTCCAACAAGAACGAAACACTCAAACGGCCTCTTCGTCCTCCACTCCTCGGGCCGACCCACCGACCGAGATCATGTCACCCAGTCAGGCCGACCCACCTCGTTCAGCCGCCGGCCATCGTGGAGGGTGCTATCCTGAAGAACCGCGGGGCGGGAGTGCCGAAGGCTTCACAAAAACGGGCATGAGAATGCATGGTCAAAAGGGATCATGGATATAATCAATTGATGTAATCTATCTGTCTATCTATATCTATAAATATATACACTCTTGCTCTGTTTAGGTTTCGGATGTTCAAGTGTCCTCATTCCATACCATCACTTTGAGATAAACTGATAAACGCCTCCTCAGAAGGTCTGACTGGGATGCCTCTGGAGGAGCCACCCCAGTCCCACGGCCCACCGAAACGAAGGTACGGCTGGAGCCCTACAGGGAAGCTCACTGCAGGGCTGACCCGTCCCATCGGCGACCCCAGTGACCGATCTGGGTGCCGAGCGGCTGGAGGACTGCTGTCGGAGGCCCTGCTTCGGCACGGACCACGTGCGGCATGTCGCAGGGCTTGGGCAGCTGTTTTGGGGGTCTGTTGGGTCCTCACCACCCGTGAATCTCCCAGACCATCCAATGTATACAGAATATACTACATACATTTACCCCATCCAAATGACCCTAATGTAGGTAACCCTTCCAGTCCCAAGGATTGTCTGCAGGTGGTTGCTACAACGACTGGGCCCCTGAACCAACGACTGGACGCCTCCCAAGAGGTCGATGGCAATTGGAGAGAAACGAACTGGGGGAGGTTCACCTATCAGGGTGTTGTTTCATGAAGAGTGGCTAGCATGTGTAGCTAGCAGCTAGCAGTTGGCGATGCATCGTCAAGAGAGTCCATTGGTCACGTCGGTTTTGGAATCACTTCGGCAAAAGCTTTCTCTGAAATCAACACATGGATCCCTCAAAAAGTGTCCAGCCAAGGCCATACAAACAAAATGGGTTTTTGTTGGACTCATGTTGAGCTTGTAATTACTGTAGACTCTTGATATCTGCTTAATAACCCCCAAAACATGACTTGAACAACCTCTTCAAATGGGAAAACAGATGGAAACAATAACAACATCAAATGAGTCTCCATATGTCTCCATGATCCATCCATTGGGAGAATCGCGGCCGTTCTCTCAGGGCCGGACAAGCCCATCCGCTCGGCGCTCTCGGAACTCCAGAGATGCTCCTGGGATGACCGGCTGCGCCGTGGCGTTGGGCGTTTCGGATGGGACCGAGCGAGGTGAGGGCCCGCTCCTGGCGCCGAGAAAAAAAAATCTCGATCATCACCGACATCAGATCTTCTCGGTATGTGGATCCATAAGGGTATTATAGTTATATTATTATAGTGCACAACATCATATACAATAGTACTGACAGTACTGAGTCCCTTCTGAGAAGGTGTGTGGATCCCCAGGGATAAAGAGTTCTTGACCTGATAGACTAGCTGTTGGTGGATCAGCCTTTGTTACTACCAAGGGGTGTGACCAAGTCTCCAGGATGCGGCTTGGGTGGCAGATCCGCCGAAGGGAGACCAGCGGCTCCAGGTGGCTAGACTCCCCAGGTCTGCAGCTGCTCAAGGATCGAAAGAGACGGTGACACAGCTGTCTTCTCCGAACATCGGTCGTTCTCCGGAACCATCCGCTGTGCGATGATCGTGATGCTTCTGAAGAACCACCATCCGTGGATGGATGGTTTGGGGGTTGTGGGTGAAGTGCTGGGTGCTTTTTGGGTCAGGGACCAGAATGACTAGAAGGGTGGATGATCCTCATTATCCTGCACAACTGATCAGTCGATCCTGAGCCACCACCCAGCCACTCTCCTCGAATTGCTTGAATGTCCCATGAACTCTTTTGGTCTATGATGGTCTATAGCGTGGGGTTCGTGCTTGCATACTGTGGGCTTGTGACGGCTTGTGTGGGAAATGGGAAGAATAATACCCCTTCGGGAACATGTTTGCATCAGGTTGCCAGTTATTGGCGTGCAATATCGAAACGTTCTGTATAAATGCTGTGCGTGAACAAACACACGGATCTGTATACAAGGTCGATCTCATCCACCGGGGTTCTCTTCTCAGTCCACCCGACGGAACCAACTCGCTGCGCGTCGACCGACCCGTGGAGAGCGGATCTGCACCGTCGACCCGTGCGTGCGCAGCGTGCGGCGTGCAGCGTGTGCTGCCAACGGTGGAACGGACCTGAGGAGAACAAAGAGGTGACCAACTTGGAACAGATCAACAGCCAGAAGACAAGTTCCACCTGAAGTTCACAGTGGCATAGTACAACAGATCGCTGAAGACACACAGAAACTCACAAACACGAAGTTCCACCAGCAAAATGGGTGGTTGAATTCTAGCAATGTCTGTCACCTGTAGCTTCTCGCATCAGTAGCCTCGCATCAGCCGTAGTGGGATGGATCTGCGCGATGGATCTATTGGATTCGCGTCTCGCAGCCCGGTCTCGGCGCGATCAGAACAGCACTGTCCGAAGAAGGCGACAGGACCGAAACACACGCACGTGTCTTTTCTGGGTGGTTGTCCGGGCAGAACTCACCGGTTCATGTGTTTGCTTGGTCAAAACGTGAAGAAAAAAAACACACAAAACATGAAATTTGACGCATCTGTCAAGAAACATTCCTTCTGTGGGCTTCCGAGGTTGATCTCCAATGGCCCAGAAATATCCAGAAGGATTTCTGGGTGATATCTGATGTACCTGAGATCTTCCCAACTCTGCAGAACTTCTGTCATTTCATCTCTCAAACCAGCCCAAAGGCAAACATTCTGCAGAGTTGGAAGATCCAGGTATAAGGGTACTCCAATGAAAAGTCGAAATCTTCAAAATGCAAAAGCCATTAACTGTCATTATTACAATAATCAAACGAATCAAATTGCACGCAAGCTAGAACATGTACATCAGCCATCATCAGCCATGAATGCTCGCCCTTGCGCGCTGAAACACTTAGCTGGTCAATGTTTTGGAGCTTGATTTGGAGTTTCCGAATTTCCTCCGCCGGACACGTCCCCGAAAACTGGACCGGAGGACGTCCGACTCGGGTCATGCACTCCACCCAAGCTCGGACTCTCCCGTCCCCCTCGGTCAACTGGATCAATCCTTGGAGACTGCACCTTGGGCTCGTGTCCACCTGAGACGTCGACGGCTAAGCTCCGAAGGCGGCTCGTGGATCGGCTTGGCATAGTCTTACCCTAGTTCTCCAACCATATCCGGTGGTTGGACCCCCTGGCACCCACCCATCTGGCCCAAACGGAGGGGGCGGCCAGGAGCCCTAGAGATATACATATACCCAAGGGCTTCGTCGTTCTGTTTCATCTGTTGCCGTCCGGGACCGTTCTGCGGCGTCCGTGTTGGGCACTCGGTGTGTTTCTCGGTCGTTTGTCTCGGTCTTGGGGTTGGAACCTGGAACGGTTCTCAATGACTTCAGGTTAGACTAAGTTGCATAGACTTCACCAGTGCTTGAAGAGAAATCTGAAATCAGTTTGATATCCTTTGCTCTTTTGCCGCGTGCTTTATGGTTTCACAGATGAGGCTATACATGGGCTGGGTGTCAAACATTCAAGACCCTGTCTGCTCTTGCATCCACTTCTGCCACTTCTCCTCAAGTGCTGGGAGAGTGCCCTGCTTCTGTTTCTTTTGAAGTCCTCTAATTGATGGAAGAGGCCAATTTGAAGTCAATTATATAAACTGGAGGATGCCGGGTTCTATGTATGACAGTACAACAGGGCAACTGCAGCAGTGTGCCTAGCAAAAAGGTCTACCACGAAAGCTTTTAAAGGACACCACCTATATAAATTATAAACTCTCAGCCGCTACATCAAATCCAAAACCAGCCAATTTCTTGGTCTGCATTCTTATTTTGCCCTAGGGATCCAGATGCCTTCTCCAAAGCTACGACTGGGCCCTCCAAGCCCCATCAATAGCCTCTCCATAGGGACGCTCCGGTCCAACAAGGTCTCTTGCTCCCCCACGTGTGACCAACGTGTGACCAAGAAGGCGATGAAAAGGAATGCTCGGACGTTGGGTCAACACCAGCGGCTGCACCGCCTCTGCACCTCTTTTGGACCAACTTCATCCCTTGAAGGCTTCGAATCTGCACAGATGTACACAGCCTCCATTTGGCTCCGGTGTGAGCAGTCCGTCATTTCATCCCATGTCAGATTTCTTGTTTTGTTTTTTCATATCCGCATGGATCCACTGCCCCCCTCTAGAGCGTGAGGGTGATGTGTTCTTTGTACACCTTGACCTAGGCACCAGGAGAGTCTATAGTCGTATCTTCTGAGAAGGTCTGTGGATCCCTGGGGTACACTTCCACCCCGCTGACCACTTCTCATTCCCCATCTGCCAAAACCACATGGGTCGCTTTGAAAAAATCGCTTCGACACGAAAACTCGCCAGCGCCAGGACTTCCGGTGCTCCACACCGGTGCGGGGGTCTGATCCGATCCACTGCGATCAAATACGGGGACACCATCGAACGAAAGACCAGTCCGCAGTCCCGTCTGCTTATCACTTAGCTCGAGGGCAAAGTTGGTTGGATGAAACAAACTGAAACACGGGGGCACCCAAGTTCTTCCCAGCAACAGCTTGCGGTATGCGTAGAGGGCTCCTATCTGATGAGTCTGATGAAACTGCCGGCCTCTCAGCCCACTGTGCATCATCGCTCCAATCGTCCTCTGCCTGGGCCTGAAGATTCCAGCGGAGCCCGACGCCCGCGGAGTTCAGCAGAGCGTGGTGCATGAAAGACCGGTTGAGGGTTAATGGAATACAACGTCTCACAAGGTCGGGTCTCACAAGGTGTTTCTAGGTCAGCTGATCAGTCTGGTGTCTTCATCCTTTGAATTAGCGAATAAGAATGGGCAGCTGAAGGAAAAAGCACCTTCAGTGAGAACGGTCTTGATCTCAGCTTCGTTTCAAACAAGTCCCTTTTCCAAGAGATGAGGATCAGTCAATGAATGCCCTCCCAAGCCTATCGAGCCAGCCGCGCTCGATCTGGGGCCCCCGGCCAGCTGCGTACCCTTCTCTACCAGGAGTACAGCACCCCTGGAACCATTGCGGTCCAAGTCCTTGGAGCAAGACAGAAGGGTCAGCTGACCCCAGAGACTCCAAGAACCGCGGTAGGAAGACCATCCACCGTCGTTTTCACACGTACGGTCTGAAACAAGATGCCCGGTCGAACACGGTGCCGACTATATAGGTAGAAGTCGTAAACGACTAATTATATATACCTTGGGTCTCCAAAGACCTTTTTTTTTTCTGCGTTTTTGTTTTTGGTCTAATATTTTTGCGTTTTTGCTCGAAAAACGCGTTTTTAGAGATGAGGACTCAAAAAAAGGTGCAGAGTGAATCTTCATCCGGACGCGTCCGGCACGGACGCTTAAAGACGCCTTTTGGACGCAAAAAGACGCGTTTTGGACGCCGAAAAAAGGTCTCAGGACACTGTCTAAGGAGGATCTGACAGGGCACAAACAAAAAAGGAACATTTCGTGACATATGCAAAAAAGAGTGCTTTCTTTCAAAAACCTCTTTTTCTTGGAAAGGCAAATTTAAAAAGGGTCATTGGAGACTCAAGGTATATACATATATCCCTTATACTAACGCACCACACCAGCCATGTTAGTACACATCGTACATGTTAGTACACAGTCACCATCATTCACCCCTGATTGAAGAAACAAACTTCCTGATGCCTTTCTGATCCCAAAAAGGCTCCCGACGACCGACGGGTGCGCCGTGGCTCCAGAGGGTCGTCCGGCAGAAAGCTTCGGTCGCGAAGGCGGCTCTTGGGCTCTTCCAAGGGCCTCTGCAAGACTCAAAGACTCAGCAAAACTTGTTGAAAACTCGTGAAAACGTGCGAACAAACAAGTGATAATTTTAAAAGAATCTTAAAAACACAATTGGATTGTGCACACACATTGAAAACATGTGAAAGCCTCTGGGGTTTGCTTCTGTGTTATTCAGTTTACATGATTTGAAGCGGTGTGGAACGGGGAGACTCTCTCGTCCAATCTCTCAATCTCGGGCGATAGATGCACCCACCCTGTTTGGATTGAAATCACCTCTTCATATGGGGGGTATTCATTAATAGAGTCTACATTGCATCGATGCAGAGGTGTGACCCACTACATGCGACAAATGGTGAGCGGTGATATGTGCTGGCAAGAGGTTTCACCAACCTGAAACACAACATGTATGCCCTCAATGGGTGAAACCTGAATCTGCTTTCTTTGATCGTGGGCACTTTCAAACTCTGGTGTTGCAGAGCTTTCTATAAATTACATACACGAGGCCTTCGATCGGAAATAATAGGTAGGTGAGACCCGTGAGGGTATACAAGGGTATATACAAGCATAATTACATATATGTATATCAAGGGCATCGACCATGTGCAAGCAAGCGGAGGGTCTGTATGTGAGACATGCCCTGGAAAAATGGCAGCGTTCCGGGACAAGAACGATCTCTGCAAAACAGCCATTGTTTAGGCTCATCTCAAGGGTCCATGACGCTTTTTCTCAAGGGTCCATGACGTGTGGTTTAGATCTCTAGCTCCAAACTCCTGTCTTGGGAGCCCCCCCAAAACGGCCACCTTCACTGCACATCGGCTACTGAACCAAAGCAATTGGGCCAAGACAGGTGCCGCAGATGTCCAATATCAGAAGCCTCAAATTCCTGGCAGATTCACTCCGAGCCTCAAATTCCTTGGGCTGAAGACCTTCCTTAAGGGTCCATGACCATCCTGAGGACGTCCTTTGGCCCCAAAGACCATCCTCAGGAGGTACTTTCACCTCCAAGACCATCCTCAGGAGGTACCCGGACCTGTCACATCTAACTTGGGGAAGCCCCTTCGGGCAGGGCCCCGCACCGGCCACGTGGATGCAAACCTGCAGGCGTCGATGGCGACGCGGTCCGCGGGATTCCCCAACGGTCCCAGGGTGCGTGATGGTGATGGTTGGGCTGTTGGTTGGTTGGTTGGTTGAAAGGAGCGCTGTATGCTGCGCCTTACTACTATTGTAATTACAGTTATATACATGGGCTGAACTTTGACTTGGGGATTGTGCTAAATGTTCTGCCATCCCGACGTCTGTGTCTTTCAAACAGTGCTCAACAAAAAGGTTTCTCAGGGGCCAACTCCAAAGCCAGTCTATCCGTGATCCTCTTCTATATCCTCAAGCAAGCCCAGCTGTTAGCAGATCCTTTCCAATTTGGAAGCGCGTTTATCGATCCGTAGATCACTAGAGGATGTAGTGGGATGACTAGTTACAAAATAAAGGTTCTTAGATGTTTGATGATGGAACTTATTTGGAAACTTTCATTGTTGGCCAAACTTGCGAGAGTGAACCGATCAGGTCATTTTACGTATCGTTTTAATTATGCTTTATTCAATCACAAAGACCTCCATGACACATCAAAGATCACCGTTTAAAAACAAAAGAAAGAAACACACATATGAAGAGGACACATGTCGAACGGTCGAGCGGCCATCATGTGGACTCAGTGTCGCCGGAGCACTCGGTCTGAAGGTTTTTCCCACTCTGAAAAGAGGCCCCTGATGGTTTGTCCAAAGTGTCCAAAGCTCTAGACACATGAAAAGTATTGAAAGGTGCTCGGGCAAGGAAAAAACATCCACAATCTTTTTCTGTGAGTGCATCCATGGCGACTCGGCGACCGCCTCGGCGACGTCTGGACACCTGGGAGAAACACACATACTAATGATGAATAAACCACCCCATTTGAGTTGAAACACCTCTTCATATGGAGGGTCCTGGAGGGTTTATTAATCACAAGTCTACATTATTATGAATAATTTAAAGCAACGACCATGACGTGCTCAAAGCCATCTTCGAGTGTCCAATCCCCTTCCTTTACCTTTATGTCATGTCCTCACCCGATCCAGGATGCGGCCGCTCCGCCGCGGTTGGAAGATGGGTTCTCCAGAGGTCGCTTCGCTACTATATAAGCCGTCAGTTTTGGGGGTACCTGGACAGTGGCTTGTTTCAGAATAAGAATTTCAATATATTTCAATTGAGGAATACACTTTACCTGACCACTATTCATTTCTCCCTGAACAAAAGCCTCACTGAAAAGCCAATCTTCTGGAAGTCTTTGTCTTCGCCTGTCTTGCTTCTGTGACTGCACGAGAAAAACCACTCTAGGACCAAAACCTCTTTTTCTCAAAAGAACTCTCTGAGAAACAAGAAAAGCGCCTCGTGAGGCCATAGGCATCGGCCATGGCGTGTTCCCAATGTGATCTTTTTGCTTTTCACTTCTCATTGATCAAAGTGTTTGGTGCTTCGAGAATCTCAAAGGAGGATTTGTCCATGTTGGGTTGATCAGCGATAGAATCTCAGGTTTCCAATGATTCTTTTGGTTCTAGCATGCTCTGGCAATTGATACGAGGAAGCAATAGAAAGTGCCATGAAGGGCAGGGATCACGGCTGCCACTGAACGAGGAGTATGACGCTGAGGACAAGCTACATGGCAAGATTCTTGAAGGTTCAAGTGGTGATGATGCTTTGTTGGTTTAGCCGTCCAAGACATTGTTAGACGGACCTCTCACTTGTATATATGTCATTGGTCACTCAAATTTCATATGTCTCTTAGGGAGGAATACCTTCCTGCTATTGTGCTGTGCAACTCGGGGGCAAGATGTAGGCCTCTAATACCTTCCTTGGACATCAATCTTCTCCTTCTCACTCCCTGCACGCGCCGGCACGCGGGAGCGGGGCCGCCAGCTAAACACCGCACCGGACGGGCGGACGGTGGAGTTCGCGGCACGAGCCGAGGACCTTTGGACCTTGGCCCTGGAGGGTGGGATCTTTGATTGCCTGCGCTAAGCGCAATGACAATCCTCGGATTTTTGGTCGGTGGTTGTTTTGTGTGTGAAAATAGGTTGTTGTTCTTCTATACTTACGGTACATTTGATATAAATGCTTCGACTAAGGCACTCAAAGCTTAAAACATTCTACTAACACACATGCAGGGGAGAATATTGGGCTAGGTTGTCGGCTGATGCTCGACGCCATCCTCCCTGCCCTTCCTGGCAGGAGAAGACCAGTTCGTGAGCTGAACAAAAACACATTACATCCTCATATATCCCCACATGTTGGGTCGCTTGCAAGTAAAAGTCTCAATTTTTTGCGTGATGCCGGTTCTGAACTGTATCCACACACGCTTGCGAGTGGAGTGAATGAGTGGATGTCCCTGGATGGCTAATTGGTTGTCCACTCTCATCCACACACATCAGGATGGCCGAGGAGGCCACCCACCACCGGGTAACTTGGAGTTGCTGTCCAGGAACCTGGTAAAAAGTACAACATATTCTCCAGAAGGGGATTTAACCATAGGGAACCTTAAAAAATCACCTTAAGCAAAACCAGGGTGAAAAAGATCCCGAGGCGACATCTGAATTCAGAGCGACCGAGAATGCTGAAAAAACACGATTCCAAGGAGGTATCCCTTTGTAAGAACACCCACACCAGTTCCGAATAGAGAAGAGCTGTGTTCAATGGGATGAGTTACAAAACCTATCCATGGGCAGAGGACCCCACAAAGCTCAGCAAATTCATTACCGATCCTTTTCAGCGTGGCACAAGGACATGAAGTTAAAAGTTCTCGTGGCTGCAACTGGCTCCTCTTCAGTGTTGCTAAAAACAGTCAATTGGATCAAACACAACTGGATTGGCCTGCGTAGGTGCTTTTGAGCTCAAAAGCTCGCAATCAAGTCCTACTCAGCTTATGCTCTGCGGTTTGATGCAGAAACATCCGCTACCTTCCCCTTGCAAAGGCTGACCTACATAGTTATATACTTTATACAGTTGTATATGTGTGCTTTGCATTTGTGTGCTTGTGCAGTGGAACAATAGTTACTAGTATACTAGTATACGATTATCTACGAAACAAGTTCTTCACGTGATCAGAAACGTACGCTGTGAGCCGCCTGAGCCGCCACGCTTCCCGGCACGGTCCCGGAACCCGCATCGGCCCCCACCCGATGAACAGCGCCGAACGGGCGAGAGAGTGGCGTCGAACTGTCGTTTTGAGCCGGACTAAAACCCAAAACATCAAACCAAAGATCAGGAGATTTGTGGATTAGAAAGACTGCATAACATATATGCATGTTTGTTTTTGTTGTATATATATATATACAACTATATGTATTACGAATATGCTATATATAATATATCATAAGGACTATCATATCTATCATACGGATAACTATGATATATAATATAGAAGGATAAAGTAGCGTATCGAGACTCATTGGTTGCAGGTGTTCTTTGTTTATCTTTGATGGAAACAAGTGCTTTGCATACCTCTGACTTCTCGACTTATCTGAACCTGCTTGTGGAACTTGATGGCAACAACCTCCCGGTATGTGATTGCAAACATTCCGAGGGAGAGACGTGTAGAGCAATCCGGGAGGATCCAGGAAGAAACAAACAATCACTCCCTATAGGGATCCAAGTAAGTACCTTCTCAGGTGAAGAAGGAGACACTGTTCTGAGACGGTACGGCTGGATCTCTAGGGACTATAAAGTATGCTTTACAAGGACCCAAAGGGAGACTAACACTGAACACCCCTGCCGACTTCTTTTCCCAGGTTGCTTTACGATGGACAGTCTTGTTGCTCCACCATATCGACAGTTCGTTGATGCCTGCCAACCCTTTCGGGCGCTGGTGCTATGTACAATCGAGGACACCTGGTGGTAGAGGGACTGGTGGCAAAGTTGCTGGCAAGTAATCCCATAATAATGTCCCAGCAGTGAGGCTAGTGATTGATTCCCTACTTACTTGGCTATTATTGCACCACTCCACCGTTACCAGATGCATCGAACAATCACCCACTCGCCGCGCATGACAGTTCCATCACCCCAACACTGGCGGCTCACTAGGCCTGACCCCGCCGGTGCGACATGTCCGGCACCAGCCAAATCACCCGAGGCATCAGCAAACCCTGCAGGATCCCCCAAAGAAGTAGCCCCGAGAATGGCAGAGACAGGTCCAGAATCGAATCTGGGTTCACCTCCGGCACAGTAAAGGGTAAAGGGATGTAAGGGGGGTAAAGGGAACTAAGTATCAAAAGATCTGGAACCCCTGGCCGGCCTTGTGTTTTGACCCACAAACAACCAAGTTGATCATTACGTCAAACATAAAACAGTATACAACAACTTGAATATTATACATTATACATTCCCATGCATCCAAATGCTACTAGATACCAAGCTCCTGCAAACAAAAGGTACTGTTGGTGATACTCTCCTGGGACATCAAGCTCCTACTCTGTAGTGTCTTCTTGACGTCTTTCGGCTCACCTGGACACCGGGAAGACCTGTGAGTGGTGTTTGTACACTGATGTGAACCAGTTTGGTGCCATAGGGCGTACTTCTTCCAAATCTTGAATGAATCGTCCGCATGAGGAATAGAGTTGGTGACATGAGGTGTTTAGACTCTGGCGAACATGTAGAGATCATGTGGTATTCTAAGTATGAGAGAGGCTCCACAGATGTGGACTATCAATTGTTGGGGCTTTCCAGCCGGGCGCCGGCACGACCACATTCACAACCTTAGGGCATGGCACAGGTTCTTCCCATTCGCATTCATGACCCAATGCATTCATCCACATGTCAGGGTTCTGAACCACCTGACTTGCACAGAACAGCAACACCAGTGCCCCTTGTGGCCTTGCAGTGTCACAGAAGAGGTCCATTTTTCAGATGGATGACTCGCCCAAACACCGAGAAAACCGGCGCCGTGAAATCCGATTCCCAGTCCCATCTCAAAAAGGTTTGGGAGGTTGTACTATCTTAATTGTTTTTCCACTATAGTAACTAGTAGCTAAGGCCTCCAACCTAATAGCGATGGCCTCCACTGAGCATAGCGTCCTTGCCGACTCAAAAACGTGGATGTCTATACTCTGTACGTCTATACTTCCTAAACTCACGGTCGACCGCGGACCGAACCGCCCCCTTCCGCGGACCGAAGTGGCGAGATGTGCACCACACCGCGCCACCCGAGCGCATCGCGGTTCCGCAGCGTCCGATTTTCTGCAAACGCCACGCCCGGCTCCACCCATCCGCAAACAGATTGTCTACGGTTCCGGTGCAAAATCCATGGGGAGCAGGGAAGGGGGAGGGGTCCATATGGATTCCGCACATCTTCACTTGTACAAAAGCCCGGACGATCCCACTCCGCGGGCCCAGGATCGTGCTTCTTTCCGAGAGGTCCACGAGTCCACTATAGTCCTCTCTGAATCCACCCATCTCCGGTCTCCGAACACTGATAGCAAACTATGAGACTCTTGGAGAAACCGGTCTCTGAATCCAAACGCCCACAGATCTCCAGTGGTCTTCGGAAGAAAGCGGTCCTGAAAGGTTTCCCTTTTCTTCTCAAGGGCTCTCTGGTTGGTGACCCAGGCTCTCTTCTCAAGGGCTCCCTGGGTGTTTTACTTCACTGAGCGGTGACCAAAAAAACACCGCTCTCTGGTTGGTCCTTGAAGCGATATGAGTCACCGCTCAATGAGTGAGTCTCGAGAAAACGGAGCCGACACCAAGACTAAGGCTTTCCCATTTGACAAGCCTTCAAGAACTCAAGTTTTTGGGATGTGGTAGCTGGTCATGGACCTCCTCTCCACAGCTACAGGTCATGTACGATCATTTTATCGATCCCGCAGGGCCATCAAAAATGAACAGAACCCCTAAGCCACCACAGACTTTGGAGTACATGCAATGAGACTTCCAGGATGCGTTAGATCCCTCCGCCCCTCCAAGCAGCTTCCCATGAAGCATCACAGGCCCGACTTTGGCTGGTTTTCTGTCAGTGGGATATGGCTCGGACGTCGGTGCTTTTGGCCTTGCCAGTATGGTAAAATGTCTGCTCCGCCGACTTTGATGCACATAGATCGCAAGTGATGAACCGACTGCACAGTTAGTCATATTGGCTTTGGTCCACAAAAAAATAGAAACGGTTTCCAATAAGTGGGGATCTACTTATTTTAGAACTTCAAGACCAGCAAGCTGGCCGTTTTATGTTCAACTCAGCGAAACGGGCGTCTCAATCTGCACGAGTGCGTCCCGGCAGTTCATGCTGTTTCACCCCGTTCAGAGTCCATGAAGCACACATCGTCAAGCAAGTTCTGATTGCATCTTATTGATAAACAACAACTTTCTACAGACTCCAGACTGTGTGGTCATTTCGTGAGAATTGCACTGACTGATGTTTAACATGCACGTGTCCACTTGGTCAAACGGAAGCACCGAACACAAGCCACGTTGGCCCACTCAAGAATATACAAGACAAAGGATTCATGCACTTGCTTGGAGAGATTGTCATCAGAACTCCCTCATCCATCATATTCACCTTCCTCCTCATCAAACTCGCCCTCTTCTTCGGCCGTTGCATCCTCACACTTTAAGATTTGACGTTGATGCCGCATAGGGTGGTTTCTTCTCTCCACGGGAAGGTGAGTTGTATACTATATATATATATATTAGCAGTTGCATTGTTACTGTTGATAAGACACATGATTGCGAGTACTTCGACTCTCCAAGTGACAACATGGGTTTGTCCAAGAAGCGGCTGGCATATCTTGCTGTGTATTTTTAGCTCATGGGGGTGAGTACTGAGAGCATACACATCACACCAATTGGACCAAAGCAATGGCCAACCAAAAGACCTGACGCCTCAGTTCCGTCGATTTGTCCCTTGGAAGACTAGTCTCAGCTGGTGCAGAGACCTCGCAAAGATTCCGATGTTCGTCCATGTGTTTTCTCTTTTCTAAACCTGCCACTGGAGTTCAGTCCTCAAAGTACCAAATCCAACACACCCATTTTTTGCATCCAAGTTCGATGAAAGTTCTTGTGGGCCTTTTCAGTTCTACACAAAAGCTGTGTCCCTTTGCCTGGTTCAATGGGCTTCATCTACTCGAACCACTCCAGATAAACCATACGGGCTTCATCCACAGGCTGAGACCAACCACGTCTGTATACTACTCAGTTTCCCGACGTAAAAACGTGTGCACGGTATCGTACGTACCCGGTACTGATCAGATCGACGAAACCGACGGTTCTGGGGTGGAACGTTCCCGTCTTCTCCTGGTACTGCTGGTATTCCGAGACCAGGTCGTTCATGTTGGACTCGGCCTCGGTGAACTCCATCTCATCCATGCCCTCACCGGTGTACCAATGCAAGAAGGCCTTACGCCGGAACATGGCCTCGGTGGCGGAGTCAACCGTCCATCCTGTGGCGGTGTCGGGGATCCGGAATGGCTGTCCTGGGTCAAACTGAATGGATGAATTTGGCAACCAAACACGACACTGGTCGCTTAGGTTCCGGGATCTGAGTTGTTAGAGTTACTTGGCAACTTAGTAACGAAGCTGGCCCTGGGTTTGTGAAGGAGCTACTGACTGATGTAAAATTGTTGTCAGGCCCTACAACCCCTTGGCAAATCAATACACATCTCCATGATTTGACGCAACCACGGTGATCGGAGAACGGCACACCAATCACGGAAAAAAAAACACGCAATTCCCAGGTCTTGACTTGTCCACCCAAAAGGTCTCTTTGGCTAATCTCATCAAGTGGCTGTGAAGTACTCTGCCACGCGCTTGAACATCTCCTGACGATGAAAAACACAAATTCATAAACAACAAACAATAAGGTTTCTTTTGGGGGGAACCGATGGATTTGATGGCTCACAAATTTAGTGGTGCGATTTGTTGGTTCGTTTCAATTTTGCGGTTGCAACTTGCAACCCAAATAACCCATGAAGACTATATAAAAGTACCGTTGAAATCCGTTGAAAATAACAATTCGATCCCCCCGGAAAAAAAACAAAAATCACAAACACCTGGTGAACCTATTGTTTAATTAATTCAGCACAAACCATGCACCATCTAAGAACATAACAGAAAAACAACATAAACAACAAAATCATGTACGTGTCCCAATGTTGTGTTGTTGAAATCGTTAAAACAAAAATCCACAACTGCCTCTCCTGGATGGCTGTGGAATTCCCAGCGAAGGCCACCGCCATCTTCAAACCCTTGGGTGGGATGTCGCACACCGAGGCTTTGATGTTGTTGGGGATCCTGGTCCGCACGTTCGCTTCCACACGCGTCCGCACGTTCGCTTCCACACTCCACATTGATCAAACAACTCTAGTCCTATGTGTTGCGGAAGAATCAAAACACCTTCCTCATTAGGAAGAACTACACGCACCCGTTGCAACAAAATCTGAAGACTTCTCCCTTGCAAGACCCAAACCCATGCTGCGGGTGCATTTCGGGCGGCTCCACATGGTTCTTTCTAGCAAAAATAATAGAATGATCCTGGTCACATGCAGTCCATAATCACTTTGTCCTGCTCATCAACACATAATATGACGCATTGTCAACCGGATAACAACGATAAAACTGTTATGCAACTACTTCTTCACATTGCCAATTCAAACGCAATCTATCAACTCAATACATCGCCGGTGCTGGTCATACCAGCAGCCCCTGTCACAAAAGGTGGTTCTCGTGGCTTGCTTACGTTGAACTCTTGGGGGAAACCGGAACGGTATGGATCCAATCTGATCATCAGCAGCGTTCAGAACAAAAAGGAGAACCCAAGCCACCATTCCACGAAGTAGGAGGAATTCTTGTTCTGCACGTTCAACATTTGCTCATCAACTTCCTGCCGGCAATGGGGCGTTCCAAGTCCCTCCAGCAAACAGCGAGGACAGCGGAGCTGCGGAGCAAACGAGCAAAACGCAGAACGACGACGACGATGACGATGACAACAGCAACCACCAGCACCACCACAAGAACTATCACCAAAACCACCACCACGACCACAACAACAAGGTACGACCAAACTACCTACCACCTAGCATAAGTACCACCCACTACTACTACTACTACTACTACTACTACTACTCCTGCTACTCCTACTACTACTACTACTACTACTACTACTACT